AAGTACAGACACACAGAGAGATGATGGCTAGATGGACTTAGAAAATAGATTTGACATGACTTCTAATCCTCAAAGGTCTTCCAACAAGGAAGATGCAAAGCTAAGCATGGGGTTAGCTGGGAAATCGGAATATCTTATCTGCAGTTACTGACGTTGCCAGAATCCGCAACTTTCCACCCACAACCCAGTGTGTGATAAGGATCAGCCAGGCAAGCCGTGACTTGGGGCAGACACGCTTGATCGCCCCAACCACAGACCTTTATGTTCATTTGTTCAACAGGCATTTATTGAGCGCCTAGGTAGCAGGCCATATCCTAGGCTCTGGGTCTAGAGTGGTGAACGAAATACCTCCATGTGGAGACTCCAGGGAGGGGAGGGGACAAGGAAAGACGGACATGTCGAGTGAGCCAGCCAGCTGAGGATAATCACTATGAAGATAAACGAAGCAGGGTAAGAAAGAGGGGCTTGGGGGGCCGGGGGCGGCTCTTTCAGAAAGGCTAACACCTGCACGCGGGCCCAGATCTGGAAGGAACGGGGCTCCGCCAGCATCACAGTAACTACGCGGCTGAATCGGGACTACAACCCAGGCGACGCACAGGGGTTGGGGTTCTGGGGCTCCTGATCCGACGCTACGAGATGCTGGAAACACACCAGCTACGGTGTTGGCAGAGGAAGGCGTTGTTGGGATCCAGCCAGCCGGGAGCTGCTGTGTGTCACAGGTATTTTACTTCGTACGCTGCCAGCGTTCACGATTTTGTGATTTTATGGAGGCAGCGAACGCTAAGCCTCTAAAGAGGGCTCCAGTTCTGCTCTGGTTGAGGGAGGCGGGCTGCTGGCAGGGACAGAGAGGGCTCCTTAGAGGAAGCGAGATCTGAGCTGGCCTCAAAGGGAGGAGAAGCGTTCACAAGGTGAGGCTGAATGCCGGATGCCCAGACCAGCCTGGTGGCCACATCTCCTCTGTCCCAGAAAGAAGGGGGCTGTGTATCAGGATCAGGTTCAATTACAAAGGACAGAAAACCTAAGATAAGAGTAGATCAAACAGAGGGGAGCCTGGGTGGCTCAGCCAGTTCAGCGTCTGACTTCAGCTCAGGTCATGATCTCGCAGTTCATGAGTTCAAGCCCCGCATGGGGCTCTGTGCTGACAATTCAGGGCCTGGAGCCTGGTTCCGATTCTGCGTCTCCCTCTCTCTGTCCTTCCCCCGCTTGTACTCTGTCTCTCGCTCGGTCTCAAAAATAAATAAAAGCATTAAAAAAAAAAAAAAAAAGAGGTCAAACAGAAAGAAATGTTTTCCTATCTTATGTAAAAACTCCTGGGGTGCCTGGCTGGCTCAGTCAGTAGAGCAAGCAACTCTTGATCTCAGGGTCATGAGTTCAAGGCCCAGTGGGGCGTTGGGCACAGAGCTTACTTGGAAAAAAAAAAAAAAAAAAAGAATAAAAACTTCGTCGTCAGGTGGCAGGGACCAGACCCCTCTGTCTTCCTCCTCCAATCTCAGTATTTGGCTTGAATCTCATGGCTCAAGATGGCTGCTTGAGTACCGGGCATCACGACCGTATTACAGCCGACAGGGCAGAGGAAGGGATCAAGAAGGGAATGCCATCTCCTCAGCAGAGGGGTTTCTAGAAGAATGCCATCTAACTTGGCAGTTCTAAGACCCACAGAGGGCCCACCAGACCCCTGAAAGGCTCCCAGGCTGCTGCCTGCGGTGGCATCCGGGAAAGCGAGAGCTGCAGGCCAGATGTCGGCCAGAGCTGCGGGTCGCTTCCGAGGTGCCACATGCGCCGGGCCCTCCGGTGGCCCTGTTCCTTCCATCTCCTACTGGAGTCGCCCCCTCCTCCCGGCCAGAGCTTTCTCTGGTGCCCTGGGAACCCAGACCCCTGGGGGCTGGGGGGAGAGGGAGGGTCCTACAGAGTTGGGTAGGAGGTAGAGATTCCAGGTAAGCCCCCCTGACCAGCACCTCCCACCACCACAGATGGACCCCACTTTCTCAAGTGTAAGAGCAGGAGCCCCGGGAAGAATTTCAATCAAATTGCTATAAAAGCCCTTGCTAGAGACAGACACATGGCAGGGGCTCAAGAAGGCAAGAACATGAACGAATGAATGCATGAGTGAATGGAGTCGGTCAGTCAACCGATCACACAACCGTGGTGTCATTCAGCCTAACCTCTGCCGAGTTGTCACCCAGCTTTCACTTACATACTCCCAGTGACAGGGAGATCACTACTTTAAGCGCAAAATGGTTTTAGTTTTAGACTGTCCTGAGGGTAAGTCAGGTCCCCCACCTCCCGGGTTTCCCCATCAGCCCCAGTCTACCTAAATGTGGGACCCAGAGCACATTTAGAATCTTTTTTCTGGGATGGTACCCAAGTCTCCGTAGGCAAGGGAAGGCACAGAACCCCACAGCTGGACCTTGGAGACCACAAGTCTCCGGGTCATCTTCTTGCGTTTCAGATGAGGCTCTGACCAGAGAAGGGCTATGGCTCAACTAAGGCCACACAGCTGGCTAAGGGCTGAGCCCAGGTCAGACCCCAGATCCACCTCTCAGCTGTGTTCCTTCTGTGTGTTTTTGTTTTTTAATTAATTTTTTTTTCCTGGGGCGCCTGGGTGGCTCAGTCAGTTAAGCCTCCAACTTCGGCTCAGGTCGTGATCTCGCGCTTCGTGGGTTCGAGCCCCGCGTCGGGCTCTGTGCCGACAGCTGGGAGCCTGGAGCCTGCTTCGGATTCTGTGTCTCCCTCTCTCTCTGTCCCTCCCCGACTCATGCTCTGGCTCTCCGTCTCTCAAAAACAAATAAACATGAAAAAAGAAAGTTAAAATAAAAATAAATAAATAAATACTTTTTTTCCTCATGTTTATTTATTTTTGAAAGAGAGGGAGAGACAGAATGTGAGCAGGGGAAGGGCAGAGAGAGAGGGAGACACGGAATCCGAAGCAGGCTCCAGGCTCCGAGCCGTCGGCACAGAGCCCCGACGCGGGGTCCGAACTCGTGAGCCGTGAAATCGCGACCGGGGCTGAAGGCGGATGCTTAACCCGCTGAGTCACTCTGGAGCACCTCGGCTGTGTTCCTTCTGAATTAATTCCACGTCTCTTCCAGGACCTCCTCCGGCCTTCCCCACCCCCTCCCCACAGCCAACCCCAGCCTACGATGCAAAGGACCCGGTTCCCTTGCGCAGATGCTCACGCTGGAGAAAACCATCTCTCATCACTGCCAGCGACAGGCACAGGGCTGGGACCTGTGGTCCGCCTGTCAGGGGCTGCTGCAGGACCCAGACCTGCAGGGTGGGCCGAATGGGTCTTACCCACCCCCCAGACGGGGGCCTCCCTCAGAGCGGCAGACCCCCATGTGTATGCACCCGTGCGGGAGTGTGTGCGTGAGTGTGTGCGTGAGTGTGTGCGTGAGTGTGTGCCTGAACTTCCCAGAGCGAGAGGAACACAGAACAAGGTGTCCATAAATCCTGCCGATGCGGGAAGGGTTAACCGTCCCGCCCGATGCCAACAGACAGAACGCCGGTGGATTCATTCATTTGGTTTTGTTTGTGGTTATTTTTTTTTTTTTTACAACTTTAAATACGGAATATAAATAAATTTACATTTAAAAAATAAAAGGAAAGCCCCCAAAAATATAATCACCAACTTTACAAACTGAAGAGAGCAGATTTTGGAGGGGGTGGGGGGTAAGGGGGAAAGTGCAGGGGGGTGGAGGGGAGGGAGGTGGGAGCTCAGACCCCACCCCAGGGACCCCTGTTCTCCCCCACTCCCAGCCCATGAGCTGGTTTCCTGGGAGGAGCCACCACTCCTGGGGGGTCTACTCTGGGGGGTAGCGTGCCCGGGGAGAGCGAGGGCTGCCCCCTCCCTTGGAGATTCTCTCCTGGGTTTTTCACGCCCGCCTGGAAGGGGAAGTGCTTGAGCTGAGGACTCAGGAAAATAGAGGCCAGCTGGACAACGCGTGGCCTCCCCACCCAACGTGGGCTCACTCTCCTGTCCAACCACCCCAAGCCATTGGCTGGGCCGGGACACAGCCAGTCCACATGGAACCTTCATGTCGATTAGGAACAGGATCCCTTTCCTCAAGACATTTTAGCTCCATCTGCCAGAAAACTGTCCTAACAAATACACCAACGGGCCATGTTCTACGGCGTGAACAACGACCCCTGCACGCGGTGCCCTTGCACGGTGCACACCCTGCACGAACCTAGGCGGCAGTCTCGGCCGGGCTGGGATTCGAAGCGCAGGCCCCCTGCTGCCCTGACCCCTGGTCTTCGGCCTAATGGAGCAGTGAGTGGGGTTATTTACGGTCTCAGCACGGGGTCCAAGGAGTCCCTCGGTGGAGCAGACTGAAGGCCGGGACAAGAGGAAGACGCAGGGTGGAGGTAGAGAGATGAAACAGAGGAGGTGAAGGCAGGGGAGTGGAAGGAGGCAGTGAGCGCCCAGATCACCATCCATGGTGGCTCCAGAGCAAACTTCATCTCTAACCCATCTGACGGGGCACTTGGCTGCCGGGTACTCGGGCCACGCCCACCCAGAGGAGTCCACATCTTCGAAGATTTCATATATAGAAAACGAAAGGAAGCCACTATAAGCAGAGGTGACCGGGGAGAAAGAAGTGACTGGGCCTGGGCGCCGTGGGAGGATTTCTCTCCAGTCTACGGTCCAATGCGTGGTCTCAGCCACAGGAGGACGAGGCACCCTGGCCTGCCTGGGGGTGCTCCCTTCAGAGCGGGCCAGGGGTCCTGGGACCGGGCAGGCCATCCATGCCTAGAGGGCCTCAGGGCCACGTGCAGGGTTTCAGGCCAGTCCACGGCGCTCAGGTGTGACCCGGGCCAGGAGCCGGGGAAGGGAAGCTCCTCCGGTCCCCGAACGGCGATCCCATGGGTCTCTCTTACACGTCCATGCCACATTCTCGGGGTCAGCGGAGGAAGGTCCTTCGTGTCCTTCTCGAGCTCCCGGGCAAGGCGCTGGGGGCCAATGAGGGGACCCGCTGGTGGGTGGACAGGCGCGTGGGAGGGGGGGAAGCACCATTGGCCGTCCGAATCAGGCATCGAGACAGACGGACGAGGGGAACAATATTATCACTCCAAGGACCCCATGGGGGCGATACAGCAAATACCATATTAAATAACCCTGTAGGCCAAGCAGAGGGAGACAGGGGGTCAGAGACAGCCTGGGGGCTCCGGCCCATACTCACACGCCTCCCTTGCCAGGGGCAGGGCGCTGAGGCTGACCAGCCATCCCTGGTTTCCAGCAGCGCTCAGGGCCTGGGGGAGTTGAAGTTTGGACTTCCCGTCCTCTTAGGGCATGTAGGGACACAGCTGGGCTGGGGTCCCCAAAGACCCTCACCCACCTGCCCCATGAGAAAAGTCAGCCGAAGTTGGGCGGAGGGGATCCAGGCTTAGAGCTCAGACTTTTGTATGGGGAAACACCTCTCTGCAGCCCAAGCCCCAGGCCAGGGGAGAAGAAACCCCAGGGGCCTGGACCTCGGGTTCCCCGCCTGGCCTCACCTGCCCGCACGCTCTTGCAGATGCCCCTAGGCTCCGAGGGTCTCCTTCAGTGCCTTCTTGTCATGCGTGTGCTTGAACTTCTGGTGCTTCCCCTTGGGGGGCCGGCGGACTCGCACCGTCCGAATGGTCACCCGAGTCTGGGGTGTCCTGGCTGCTGGAGAGAAAGAAAGGGCTTGTCAGCAGGTGGACAGCCTCTGGAGGGAGCCATCTTAGCAGATGAGGAAACTGAGGCAGAGAGACCGGGATCTGAACGTAGGAGTCTGCCTCTGGACTCCATGCTTTCAACCACTGGCCTACGAATCACAGCGCTTGTGAGCCTGGGTCAAGGTTAGCACTTAGGTCTCTTCCTCCTGAGCCCTTAGGTCGACATCCCGGAAGCGAAAGCTTTCTCCGCCAAGCTCAAGGCCCGTTTCTTCCTGGGGGCCTTCCCCAGCGATCCCAGCTCTTTGGGGCCGACACCGACCTCCCACCTCACAGACACAGCCCGCCCTGAAGCGGTCAGCCCATCTCTGCAAACAGACAATGTAAGGATACAGGCAGGTGTCAGATGCCCCTTGGGGGAGGACATCTAGACGGGCCATTAAAGGGCCCAGAGTCTGGGCTCCAAGGATGGGGTCATCGGCACAGGACGCGGGGCTGGGCAAAGCCTGAACAAGTGTGAGGTCGTCACGCAGCTCGCGAGTGACAGAGGAGAGTCTCGAGCCCGGGGGGTGTGACACCGGCCACCACACGGGCCACACCACCACACCGTAGCCAAGCCGCGGACAGCTGCCAGCGGTGCAGTCGCGTGGGGCCAAGTTGCTGAAACTGACATGACAAGGCTTTAGGGTCATCTACAGATTAGTCAGCGGAACAGGCCTTCCAAAATCTGGTTTGGAAAGTCGCAGGAAGCTAAGGCACGTAAAAGAACCACACTCCAAACACGAAGAAGAATATGAAGTTTCCCGAATAGGAACCACGCTACGTCTTTTGGCGATTCCGTGTTACGCGATATTCCATGTTGTTCCGTGTTAATCGCAGCGATCATTTACAGCAGGTCAGTTTGAAGCTGGCAAATTATTAGTCTTCTCAGGGCGTCCGTGCCTTAGCTCGGCTCTCAGAACAGGACAAAGAGGCTAAGAGACAGCCCTGCCTTCAGGGGGCTTGTCAGATGTCTGTCCTCCAACAATTGTAAGTTACTGAAGATCAACACGTGATTTTTTTTTTTTTGAATGCTCATCTAATCCTATTAACTAAAAAATTCTTGATCCTTACTGCAAACGTGCGAGGAAGAAAAGGCAGCAGGACAGTCTAAGGAACCCAGAACTAGACAAGACCTGGGTTCTGGGCTAGACTTTGTCACTGTGCAACCTTCGTTACGTCCCTTACCCTCTCTGTGTTCCAGCAACCCCTTTAATAAGACTGAAAGACCGACTTAGAAGGTCATCTCTCTGGACTGTTCTGGCTCTCAAAGTTTTGAATTCTTTGACCAAAAGAAAATGATAAGGCAGGTAGGCACGAGCGACTGGTGTCAGAGTGAGAGAAAAGCCCAGAACAGAACGTGAGGATACCTTGATCCAGCTCTCCCCCTGCCCGGGACTGGCTGTGTGACCTTGGGCAAGACCTCAGCCTCTCTGAGCCTCAGGCACCTCTTCTGCAAAATGTGGACCAGGTATTTGGATCAGATCATTTTTTTTGGTCCTTTTCGACTCAAGTCAAACTACGCCCCTGAAATTGTGAATTCACGAAATCGAAAGAGAGGAACACAGCTCCGGTTCCAAACACCCATCAGATGCCTGAACCCCATCTGTCACTTCACTGCTGCAGGATGGCCCAGTCTCTACCCACACATCTTCAACAACAGAAACTCCCTACCGCACAAGGCATGCGATTCCATCTTGGCCCCCTGACTGATCAACAGCTTTTGACATACAGAGTTCAAACCCCTCTCCAGGGGCTTTTCCCCCACTGGTCCTGATCCCCACTGAGGGCCATAAGGAATTAGTTTGACTTCTCACCCCCAGGACAAGTTGTCAAGTATCTGAAGATGATGTGCACGGAATCTTCTCTTATGTGCTCGTTCGACAAAGTAAGGGGCTGTGGTAGCAGGACAGGGATGGGGGCTGCCCTGGACAAGGAAGTCAGGGTAGACCTCTAGGAGGAGGTGACTTCTGAGCTGAGACCCAAACGAAGAGGCTTGTGAAGAGTTGACAGAAGTGAGTTTCGGAGGGGAAGTGGCACGTGCAAAGGCCCCGAGGCGGAAACACATCTGGCCACGCAAAGAGGTCAGGTTGGCTGGGGTGGCATAAGTGAGGGGGAATGGTTGGCAACAAGGCTGGAAGGCCAACCGGGGGCTAACATCCTCACGTAAAGCTTCGGATGAATTTAAGCAGGGGTAGGCCTGCTCCAACTCCCCCCCGCAACCGGCAGCTGCCACAGGAGAAGCGAGCTGCCCAGCTGAGCCGTTCGGAGGCAGACCCCGGACCAGCGCTTACCTCGCTGCTCTTGGGAGCTCCCCGGGCTTCGGGTCACGGGTCGTGCAGCCACCACCGTCTCACACTTGCACGCCAGGTGGTCCTCCAGGGTCACCGTGGCCTTCTTAAAGACTGGCCTCTTCCGCACAATCTCGATTTTTCTCACCTGGAGGACAGAACCGTCGAAGTGCCTCTGGGAGACACTACGCGGGCAGGGGCCGAGGGAGCCCGCCTGCCTGCCCTTCCCTCCCCAGTGTCCCCCCGCGGGGATCTTTCCTCGAAAGCAGGGGGTGGAGAGAGGCAGGGCAGACACTCTGGCCCAAACAATAGCAGGACCTTGCCCTCTACCCTTCTTGTAGCTTTTCCATCAAAACAAGCCCTCCCGACCCGGCCTCCAGCTTTGGCTGCAGCCCCCTTGGAGCTCCCAGAGAGGGAGAAAGGCATTTCCGGGTTGAGCGTAGGGCCTGCGGTGTCCCCATTCCCGGAGCGCCAGCCAAGGTCAGGGGCTATGGCAGAGGCGGGAGATGGTTGTCTGGAAGGAAGTAGGGGGGAGGCTTTATCCAGGAGGGAGGCGGGCAGGGGGAGGTCAGCTGTCAGGTGTCCATCCATAGAGCTGGAAGCAGTGGGGACAGGAGATACCGTGACAGTGGGTGGTGCGGTAGAGAGTGACACTTGTGATCTCGGGCACGGGGCCCAGGCCTGGGATGGATGGTGGGCAGGGGGAAAGGCCACAGCTGACCTCAGGGAGGGGAGTATGGTGACGCAGGTGGAGCCTTTGGCAAGAGTGGGGCTCGCCAGCCGGTGCCGAGCCCTGGAGGTGCAGCTCAGCCCAGCCCGAGTCGGTGTGCAGGCGAGGCAGACCCGAAGGGCACAGAAACCTCTCCGCGTGAATCAGAAGACCACCGAGGCTTCTCTGGCCCTGCCTTGCCCAGCGTGAGACCCGGAGCTCCCCCGGGCAGCCTCTACTCTAGAATTTGCCTTGAGTCAGAGTGCACACCCGATCTTTCTAGAAAGGAGGCAGGGTTCAGCATTCTGACTCTGCTAGGGGCTGCCCCAGCTCTTGCAACGTCTGCTGCCCAGAGGGCCTCTGCCCCCCTGCTCGTGAAGGACACGGCAAGGAGCCTCAACAGGTCTGGAGGAAAACTGAGCAGCCCAGAACATTCTGAGTGCCCAACAAATGCTGGTAGACCTGTCTCTTCCGGGGACCTCTTGGGATTTCATCCTTGCAAAAGAGGCAACACCCTTCACTAAATGTCCCACGCCTGGCCCTGCCTGGGGGTCCGCCTGTGGCTTTTGGTTACAGCGGCCTGGGTGGCCTCGAGGACTCACAGGTGGCCTCAGAGCACCTGCCCAGAGAGCGGCCTGCAGGTGGCCCTCTCTGGATGGAGCCCGGGGGCCCGCCAGGAATGCCTCTCCGCCCCTACGGAGCGAGCGACGAGCCCCCGAGGGCAGCCCCCGCCCAGTGCCCGGGCCGGCGAGTGGGCTGGGCAGGGGTGGGGTGGGGGTAGGGTGGGAGTGGGGTGCGGGCCCCCCGCGCACCTGGACAAGCCGCAGCTGCACCTGGGTGGGACGGCACTGCACGTTGCGGTTGTTACAGCAGCCGGAGCAGCGCTGCACCTCCACGCAGGGCGGCCACACCAGGAAGTTGGCGTTGGTGCGGTCTATGAGACGCCGGGACACCTCGAACACCTCCGTGCGTGTCTTGCACTCGGCGATCATGGCTGGCTCGGCGACCGTCGGGGAACCTGAAGGGAGAGGGGGCCTCCGTCAGGAAGGTGGGCCTGCCCAGAGCCCCCACCCGGCGGCCAAGCCCAGCGGGGGCACTGCTGTCCCCCAGAGATGGCAGGCTAGGGGCGCCTGGGGGGCTCAGTCGGTTAGGGGTCCGACTTCGGCTCGGGTCACGAACTCACAGCTCATGAGTTCGAGCCCCGCGTCGGGCTCTGTGCTGACGGCTCAGAGCCTGGAGCCTGTTTCAGATGCTGTGCCTCCCTCTCTCTCTGCCCCTCCCCTGCTCACCCTCTGTCTCTCAAAAATAAAACATTAAGAAAATTAAAAAAAAAAAAAGGGGGGGGGTGGGCTGATCCCCACTTCCTTCAGCCCCAGGGACAGTTTTCGTGTCCTGGCTATGATCAGCCGTGGGACTTGGACAGGCTGCTGATGGGCCCTCAGCCTCAGTTTCCCCATGAGATCTACACCCCAAGAACCGCCTTAAGGATCCAGTGAGATCATTCAGAGAGTGCCGGCCTGTCGTAAATGTCGGCGTCCTTCCACCAGCCCTCGGTTTCATTCGGCTATTTCACAGGTTTATGGGCTTGCCTGACTCCTGGATCCTACTCACTTATTATTTTGTAACCGCTCTTATGTTGCCATTTGACACTGTAATCTATTCTTAAATCCTTGCTTCTTTCAACGCCTGTTCCCTCATCTACGTGTGACACGGGATGACAGAGCCTATACTGCACCTGCGGATCTAAGGGCTAACGTGAGTGGCCTAGAGCAAGCGTCCAGTCGACGCCGGGGCTCTGTCTTCGTTTTCATGTAGAGACGCTGCCCAAATTCACAGACGGAGGAGTGGAACTCAGGCCACCGACTCTTATCTGGAGGTCCCCGAGCCACTGTCTACAGTGTTGTGGGGACTTCAGGTGGGCAGAGAGGAGGAAGGGCTTAGAGCACGCACTGGCCTCCCCAGGGAAGGCTCCCACGGGACCCGGGCGGGTCCCAAGCTTTGCCTGCTGACCCAGGAGGCAGCCCTAAGCCACGGAAGGGACACGCAGCCCGCCAGGATGGCACCGGGTCCACATGAGAAGAGCAGCTGGGGTCCCAGCCCTAGTTGTTGCTAGCTGTGCGACTTTGGCCACGTCTACCCCTCTCTGGGCCGCAGTTTCCAACTTGACAAGATGGGGTTAATGATATCTATCTCTTGGGTTGAAGAAATATCTCTCAGGTTGAAGAAATGCGTGTAAAACCACTATATTGGGGCACCTGGGTGGCTCAGTCGGTTAAGCGTCCGACTTCGACCAGGTCACGATCTCGCGGTCCGTGAGTTCGAGCCCCACGTCGGGCTCTGGGCTGATGGCTCAGAGCCTGGAGCCTGTTTCCGATTCTGTGTCTCCCTCTCTCTCTGCCCCTCCCCCGTTCATGCTCTGTCTCTCTCTGGCTCAAAAATAAATAAAAAACATTAAAAAAAAAACACAACACTATATTTAGGAAACCGTGTGTGTTGGGGGACGGGGCGTGAGGACTCAACTCCTCGATACAGTGTCCTGAAGGACAGTTGTACTCTCTTACAGTTTAAGTCAGTCCTAAGTGCCGGACGAACGGGCGGCCCAGAGCCGTGGGCGGGCCGCCGGCCCCAAGTCTCCTTCTCTGGCTCCCACTGTTGAGAAACCACCATTCTTACCTGCAGCCTCACCTAGGCTCCTTCTCCCTCGGGATAAGCTCTCCAGCTCGCGTCCAGAATGGGATCGAGTCGAATTCAGGTCCAACTCGGCTCTGTCTTCGTCTGCAAGGCAAGGCAAGGCACAGTCGGAATGCACCCTGATAAGCGCTGGCCGGTCCGTTGGTGGGGTGGGGGCTCCCCTGGGGGCTCCGGGGTAGGCAGGAAGGTGGCCCCTTACCCGTCACTGGTACCCAACTCGAGACAACAGACTCCCTTTCCAGCTCCCTGTAAACCCGAGGGTCCTGGCTCTGGAAAGGGGCTCTCCAGGAACCCCGGGGTGGCCGTGGGGCTCGGGAGGGGGGTGAGGCCCTGACTGCATCCCTGGCAGGCCTTCAGCCCCGCTCTGGGCTCTTCGGCCACATTTTTGGACAGAACCCATGTCAGTGGAGTTAAAAATAGCCCTTCCCTTTCGCTACTGTAAAAGAACCCTCCTCAGCCTCCAGGGCAGGGCAAGGACCCAGAGCTCGGAAGGCCAGTTTCCAATGCCCCTCCGCCCAGCGTTCCCATAGGAAGTGCTGAATGGAGAAATTCCCAGAATCCCCGGGGGGACCAGCTTGCCCTGGACACAGCCCCTCTGGAGCCCCGGACAATGGCCCAGCTGAGCGGGAGAGAGGGAGGAGGGAGAGGAGCAGGGGTGAGGGCTGAAGGCAGAGAGGGGTGGGGAGCCAGCCTGCTGGGATGGGGGTGCCCGTACCCCGTGCCCTTCCCAGCCTGGGTTTTGCTCCAGCTCCCAGTGTCTCGCTCACTGTGTTTGCCTCTCCCCTCTAACCTTTGGCCCCGGGTCCGCCCTACGGTCCGTTTATTCCTCAGGGGACAGTCTACAAACTACAGCCTGGGGCGCCCTCCTCTCGGTGTCATAGCTGCTCCCTCTCTCTCTCGAGGCAGCCAACACCACTGTGGGAGGTGAGGGCCAGACAGGAGGACTTTGAGCTCAACACCGAATCCTGGGCAGACCCCTCTAGCCCTCTGACGGCTGAAGAGTCAGCACAGAAACCGAGGGGTGTCAGGGACAAGCTCCCGCCCCCTTCACGCAGCCCCTGGTCGCTCCTGCTGTCTCCCCTTCCTCCCGGCCCGCCAACGCCAACGCCAAGGCTCGTGTGCCCTTCCGTGTGGGCTCCCGGGGGTTCCTGTCTGGAGGAGACCCTCCTACAAATCCTACAGCCGGTGCATTTCCATCCGGCCTGCTGCTCCCGCGCGTCAGCGCGTCTGTCTGTCTGTCCCTCTCGCTCCCTTCCTTTCTCCCTGCCATCTCTGGAATGTCCCTGGTGGAGAGGAGATGGGGGGAAAGATGTGCTTTGGGGCAAGGTTAAGTTGATTAGGAAAAAATAGCCACATGGTTGCCTCGAAACAGGCCCGCTATTGAAAACCTCCGTCTCCAATCCCGACCCCCACCCGGGGTGTGCAGGGGCTGAACGAGGGTGGGGGCCAAGGGCCTTGGAAAGAAACCGCAGAAAGGCTAAATTTGGAAGTTGCCCCATTGTGTTGGCCAGGGCTGGCCAGTCGGGCATGGGGTGGGGGATGTGGGAGACGTCGGGTGGGGGGCCGAGTGAACAATAGGTGGGCCCAGCTGGGGCCCCCTCCCGCCTGCCTCGCCAGCCCCCGGCACAGGCGGGTTTGAAAGGGCCCGGGAATGCTTTTGAGAGGGAGCCAGGGGCCCAACGGGGAGAGGAAACAAAGACAGGAAATGCTGTCCCCCGTAGATAGGAGTCTGGGCAAGGATTACAAAGTGACAAAGAGACAAAACCCTAGAGGGAAGGAGAGCTGGGGGTGCAGGGGGGTTGCTGACCGGGGCTCCAGGGAACAGGCCAGAGGTTAGAATAGAATGGAATTTGCTCTGAAGACAGCGTTTATAAATACATTCCTGACCCAGCCCGCCAGCCCGGCCACGTGTGTGCCACCAAGCACGTGCCCATTCGCTGAGGGCACTCTCGGGCGAGGGCAGGGTTGCCCGCTGGTCTGGGCCAGGTGTCCCCAGGAGACCTTACAGACCGGGCCCCCGGCCAGAGGGGCAGGGAGACGGCTCCTTCGGCACCACCCTTCCTGGCCGAGGCCACACCTGGATACACATTCGGCGTGTGCCCCAGGCACCTTCTCCCTGCCCCCCTCCTCCTGGCACCCGACCCTGTGCGCCAAGCCAAGGCAGAGCCACATGTGGGTGCTTCTCCCGCCACGCCCCACGTCCCGAGTACCAACCCATCCACCTACTCAGCCCTGCCCTGGACAGGTGTGGCCACGCCCTCCCTGGGCTGCCACAGGCCTCTAGTTACCTGGAAGTCAAGGAAGACAGGACGCCCCATGCCTTGCCCCTCGCGGCTCCCCAGGATTCAGTGGGGGCCCAGAGCACCGAACAAGGATTCAATTTACCTACGGAGTCTCCGTGTAGCAGGCGCTGGAGGTCATCAAAGGAGCGGATTGAGTGGTCACTCAGCATCTTGTAGAGTTCCTCAGGAATGGGGTCCCCCTGCCAGGGAGACACCATGGGGCCAAGTGAGCCAGGAGTGAGGGCTTTCCAGCCACGGCCCTCTTGCCCGCCACACACACACACACACACACACACGCACACGCACACGCACACGCACACGCACGCACCCTCCTATGGAAAACTCCCACAAGGCCTCTTGGCCCTGGGCAGGCAGACGGCCAGGATGGGGGCGCGGGCAGGGGGCGGATTCCAAGCCTGACACCCGGAAGCACAAAGGTCTAGGGGCCGGGACCTGCTGAAGCCTCTAAGAGCCAGGTCAGAAGCTCACCCCACACCCCCAGACACGAAGCCCAGCTTGCTCTTAGATCGGACCACGTACACATCTGTCTCCCGCATCACAACCCCTGGAGACTCTTTGCCTCCACACGTGACAGCCAATGACAGCCAGCATTTGTCGGACGAGATCTAATTTACCCCCATTTTACAGATGAGAAAACAGAGTCGTAGCAGCCAATCAGCAGCAGAACCTGCATTCAAACCCAAGGCTTTCTGACGGAGGGACCTGTACTCCAGCCTCCTGGGTCCGTGAGGTATTTCCAAATGCTTGCAGAGTTGGACAGTCTCAGGAGGCCACAGGTACTAATATCTCTATTTAGTCTCTTGCTCACAAGAGGAGAGGAGGGAATCCTCAGTTAGAGACGGGAAACCTGAAAGCTAACCCATGCCCCATGCCCAACCAAACCCTATTTTTAGAGCCCCTCTGGCCTGTTACCAAAAACACTTGAAACTTAATAAGTGCTTTAACAGGCCCCACTCGGAGCCGGGCTTCCTCCAGGGAAACCACAGGCCCCACAACAACACGAGAGCAGCCTGATAGGAAGGTCACGGCCACGTCCCTCATGGTCCACGAGGGGCTGAGGGAGACCTGAGGGGCTGGTGCGGCAGGACTTGAGAAGGAGTGCACAATCTGGACACCCAGTGCCTTGGGGCAAGGGAGGTATATGAATGAGACGCTGCTTTGTGTACAAACCCACACCCGTGGAGAAACACACACACACACACACACACACACACACACACACACGCGCGCGCACACACAGACACAGGAAGGCATGGTCTTGTAGAAGGAGCCCTGGAGGGGGCGCCGGCAGACTTGACTTACTGAGGTTCAACAACTCTGTGCCTCAGTTTCCCTGGATAAGGAAGCGGGAGCTTCTGCACTAGTCAGTTCTTGGAACGTTCCAAGGACTGGAGTCCTCACTGGCTTTGCACAGGCCAAGTCCCTGCCCGACAGGGGGGAGGAGGTCATCTACCCCATGGCCAGCCCCCGGGGGCTCTCCCCACAAGCTCCGTTAGGAGCTTTGTGATGGATCAGTTTCTGGCTTCCCCCAAAGCTCTGTTTCCTCAACAGTTAGCATGATGTCTGGGAACAGCTCGGCCAGGGGTTCTGCCATGCCCATCCAGCTCTGGCCACCCAAGTCGGCCTTGGAGCCACAAGACGCAGGGTGGAGTGTGGATATGACTGCTTCTAAAACGAATTCCTTGATGGGGCACCTGGCGGCTCAGTCCGTTGAGCTTCCGACTTCAGCTCAGGTCATGATCTCACGGTTCGTGGGTTAGAGCCCTGAGTCAGGTTCTGTGCTGACAGCTCAGAGCCTGGAGGCTGCTTCCAATTCCGTGTCTCCCTCTCTCTCCGCCCCTCCCCCGCTCACGATCTGCCTCTCTCTCTCTCAAAAATGAATACATGTTAAAAGAAGATTTTTAAAATGAATTCCTTGAAACCCCTGAGCTCAGCTTTTTCATGTGAGTGTGGCACTTATAATCCTGCCTGGCGTCTAGGGCTGTTGGGAGGTTCAAAGAGAAGAAAGGTTGGGGGCCTCGAGTAAGCTTGGCCGGGAGCTGGGGTCTTTCCTTCAGGGTCCGCGACTATGAAGCTGGGGCTGCATAAATGAGGGGGGAAAGGGACATCTTACGTGCCTTCCCTACCTCCGCCACGCTCTGCCTCCTCCGACTCCCAGAGAGAGACCCTGGGTGTCTCCAAATGTGGACACAGCGCCCTCCCCACAGTACGGAAGGCAGGTGGCCGGTCCCCACTTAAGAGGGAGGCAGACTACGTCCCCTGAGGGGATTATCAAATGCAGAGAGCTAGATGCTACCCTTGTACCCTACTAACTGCCCCATGACCTCAGGCTGGTCACTGCCCCTCTCTGGTCCTGGCTCTCGTCTGTGAACCAAGGGGTTGAAGACATTTGACTCCGTCCTAATTCTGCCTGGGGTGGCAGGAGAAGCAGCAGAGGAAAGCTGAGGGTGGGGGTGCCCAGCCAGGTCTCCAAGCTGTCTGTGCAGTAACGATGCAATTAACCTCCCAGGAGGGGGGCCCAAGCACCCCAAGTGCCATGCCGCATTCCTGCCAAGAACTCCTTGTCCACTGGAGACCATGCACGAAGGACTCTCTCCTTCTCCCTGGGGTTCTCTCCTGTATGATTCTCCCACCTCCTCCCCCAGGAAGACCGCCTGGGATATTTGCCCCCACCCCCTAAGCAAACTGCCTCCTAAAGAAAGAGTCCACTTTATTCTAAGCAGAGAGGCCATCCCTGCACCTGTTTCCAGTAATCTGGCCACTAGATGCCCAGAACTCGCCAAGGGCCCCCTGGATTTGAGAATAATAACACAGCACTGAGCGGAAATGCTGTGCTAACCACCAATGCCAAGCGGCTGGCCCTGTTGTGATCCCCATCTTCCAGATGAGGAAGCTAAAGGCTTAGAGAAATGCAGTCAGGGGCTACAGGTCTATACGCAATAGCAGAGCCGCGCCCCTCCCTCCTCCAGCCCACCACGGAGGCTTCTGGCATCAGATGTCGCAGCGCAGCGGTTGGTTCTCAACCAGGGGCTAGAGGGTCCTCAGGAGACGCTGGCCATGGCTGAGGCACTTTCGGTGGTCACCCCTAGAGGGGCACCACTGGCCTCTGGCAGGTGGTGGCCAGGGATGTTGCTGAACATCCTACGACGCACAGGACGGCCTTCCGCAAGAAAGAATTATCTGGCCCGAGATGTCAACAACTCTGTAGTACAGGAAAGAGCAGGGACTTCAGCTGCCCAGGAGACCTGGCCTCTTGGCATTAAGCCTTTTAACAACCTGAAACCTGATAAAGCTTCTGTAGCTTTTAAATGGGGCTAAAATAAGACGCGACTGGTGTCACCGAGAGGCGGAGTCGCACCTAGCCCAGTAGCCAGCAAATAACGGGTACTTAATGAAATGTCGCTGTGGCCAATTCCGTCCTTCAGTGCGGCTCCTGTGAGGGCAGCAGCGAGCAGCCCACACACGCCCAGGGCCAGCAATGCAGGGCATTTTTGAGGATGACAATTGGTGGGTGGAGAGCCGCCCTGCCAGGGGCGAGGCGTATGGCTTCGCATTATCCCCTGTGCTGGGCCCACAGGAAATGGCCCCCAGGCCCCCACTGGCACTGCCTGGGGCCTCGTGAGCCGGCGGGTCCCTTCCGGGGGCCGGGGGTGGGGAAATTCAGCCTGTGGTCAGCTCCAGGATGAGACGCCCCGGGGGAGACTCGTAGGGGCACCTGCTTGGGGTCAGAGGCTCTGCTCGGCGGGGAAGGGCGAGCCACCGAGAGCCCCGTTTTCCTGGGCACAGGTTCTAAAAGCCTGTTTAGGCGGGCAGGGAGGGCAAACAGGCATGGCATACGGATGAGGCTGCCCAGATCCCAGGCCTGGGGTTCCTGACAGGGCAAGGGCGTGGTGAGAAGCCGCTGGGGCACAGCCAAGGCAAAGAGCCTCCTCCCCGCCCCACCCCACCCCCAACACCAGCTGCAGGAGGGCACGAGCTAGCGTGAGGCCAGGTGACTTACCTGCTCCCAACCAGGCTGGCAGATCAAAGGGGCTTGGACCCCACCCTCCCCCAGGGCCGCAGCTGCACACACAGAGACGCAGGCTGCGCTCCACTCCGCTGAGGGAGAGGACACTGGCACAGCCCAAGCAACCAGGGGCGTTGTCTGGGTCTGGCGCAGAGAGAAGCCGACAAGGCCTCGGAGCGCCCGCCTGCCTGACAGTCTCGGGCCTGATTTAGATTCCATGCCAAAGCCAAGCCCTTTGAAGAAGCCTTTTCTGGGCAGACCGCAGAAGCCATTTAGAACCAGACTTCCCCACCTAGCATTTCCCTTCTCTATTGCTCCTGGGACCCTCCCACCCCTCCTGAAGGTCAGCCCGGCCCCACACTGGAGCAGAAAAACTGTCACGGCTTCCAGAAGGGCCAGGGCAGCAATTACAACCCCTGGAGCCCGTGGCAGCCACTGCCTCTGGGGCAGGAATCTGCGATTTCCAGAGACGCTAGTTAATTCTGCTGCTCCTGGGGAACCCTGAACGAAACCAACCTTCGCGTGTTGGGGGGCGCCCGAAACCGAGGCCCAGCTCAAGATACACGGGATCTCTGCAGTCTGATTTTCCTTCTGTTTCTTCCTCTGGCCTATCCAATCTTGGCAGTCCAAGTCCCAAGAAGAGAAAAGAAAGACAAGCCTCTCTCTCAAGATTGGGGGGGGGGGGCGCTCCAATGAGGATGCCTGCGGGAGGGCAGAGTAGCCGGTGCTGCCCTGGGGGCCAGGACTCAATGAGGGCATGTTTATAAAGCACTTAGCAAGTGCTAAACACATGTCTGGCCCTTCTTCCTCACCGCTCCCCCACTCCCCCCCACCCACTGTCCTTCCCACAAATATTTATAGATTATCCACCTTGGACCAGGCACCGTTCCAGGAATGGGAGACAGTAGTGACTGAGACAAACCCTCTAGTGGAGTTTAGACTAGTGAGGAAAACAGATAATAACTGACTCAACCAGAAAATGAAATAGCTGTCCTAGAAAGGGCATGGGGGGGGGGGGAGGAGTGGGGGGGCAATGGGCAAGTGAGAGAAGACTGAGAAGGATCTAGGAAGCCCCCGGCAAACACGTCTTTACTACTCTCGCCACTCCCCGCATCAACCTCCCCCCCCATACAAGCACCCCATTCGAGGGTCTGCACCAGAGCCTGGAAATTCAGCTTGGTCCTAAACCCGCAGACGCTTCTAGGGCTGGGAGATGCCAGCAAGTCGGTCTCCGGGCACCTAAGGCCATTAGCAAACCAGGAAGGAGCTGGCCCCTTCCCTCCTTCCGGGCAGAAGGGTGCTAAGGCATCACATGACAGGGGAGGGAGCCTCCCGGAAGCCAGATCAGCTGATGGGAGATGGGACCTCCTAGGCCTCCGCAGACCCTTGGCCAGGCCCTGCATCAGAGCGCCCACCCCTCCTCCCCAGCTGCCCAGGCCTCTACCTGAGGCTCAGGCCCCGGACAAGGCCAGCCCCAAGGCCACCTCCACCAGCAAGCTCTCTCGGAGCCTCCCGTCCCCGACTGGCCCTCAAGTGGATGGGTTTTCCCTTTAGGGCTCCTCCCCCAGAGCCTCCTGAGGCCGACCGGGGCTCAGCAGGAACGTGCTTCGGAAACTGCAAAGCACCACACAATTGTGGGTTCCCGAGGGAGCGCGTGTCCCAGGACGCTGGGAGTCAAGTGAGGAGAAAGGCACCAGCTTCCGTGCCATAGGGTCCCCCCAAACACACTCACCCACGGAGTTGGGGAAAAGGAGGAGGAAGTGCCCAACGAAGCTGGAAATGGCGAGGGCAGGCCCCGGGAAAGCCTTATCCAGCTGTCACCGGGCTTCTCTAGAGCCCGCGGGGATCAGCAAAGACACAACAGCCAGGGGGAGCCCCCTCGGCGGCTCAGGGTCCTCCAGTCTTGGAGGTTCAAAGAAGGGCTTATTTGAAGAGAGAAATGTTCCAGACATCAGAGCGCCCCCCCCCCCCGTTGCGTCAACACCATTTTCTGCCACCTGGGGGGGGGGTTAAAAAAAAAAAAAATCCGCCGAGGGATAATGCTTGAGGGGCGTCAAGCTGACCCGAGCAGGCAAAAAACAGTGGGTGCTATGGAGCCAGGACCTGCTGGGAGGGTCCCTGTTTCCCCTCCCTGTTAGTGCCCAGCAAGGAAATGGGGTCACCACCGAGGTGATGAGGTTCCAGGGCCCACGGTAGGCCCACCTGTTGCACGGGGGGTGGGAACCTGCTGCTGGGCGTCTAGGGGCCTTGCGTGCCCGTGTGCGTGCGTGGGTGGGCGCGCACGTGTGTTCAGGCCGCGTGTTCGGGGGCCGTGCGTACGTGTGTGTGCGGTGCGCGCGCGTGTGCCCCGCGTGTGCACGGGCGTGGCGGCGGCGGCGGGCGCGCGACCCGGCCGCGGTAGTGCGTGCCCGTCGCTCTGCGCGCCCGCCCGCCCGCCGGAGCGCAGCATCGCCTCCGGCCAAGAGTGTGCATGCGTGGGGTGAGTGAGCGAGT